TATAAAGATAGAACACATTAATACTGCTTTAATTCTCAAATCAACAAATATTAGAAATATGTTTAAGGTTTACACTGAGCTTGAGTTTCCCTTTGTATTTGGGAAAAGGGTAGTAATTGCATCCTTCCAACGGCAAAAGGCAGAAAATTCTCAAACTTCCCTCTCTTGCTGGTGAGAATCACTGAAAATTACAGCTTGGAGAGAATTTGGAGAGTATTTAATCAAAAGTTCTTAATTGGTTTCCATCAGGTAGTAACTGGTAGCTTTAGATTATTTTCAACTATTTGAAAACAAAACAAAACAAAACAGATAACACTTCACAACTAGCTAAAATGCAAACTCTTTTCGCTGTTGGTTGGAATTAAGTTACCTGGTTTGGTAACACCAGCCACCTCATGAGGATAAGAGGTTTTGGTGGGAATTAAAATATAAATGTGAATTAATGATTACTTCAATACAATAAAGAAAATCTTTCAAAACGTAAGGGTCAGGGAGTAGAATAATAAAAAAGACCTTTTGCGTAAAAAGCTGGTAAAACCTCTCAGGGTTTTAACATATGTGTGAAATATGCTAATTTTACAGAGGAGAAAACTGAAATTTAGACAACTTTGTTGTAATCGATCCCTTTCCCTTACTGAAGTCCTTTTGTTCATGTAGATTGATGCATAATTTAATAGCTATGCAGGGCTGGTCTCATGGGTGTGTTACCTGTGTAGTCACAGAACCCCTACCTTAGAAGGTCCCCATACTTGGATTAATGTTTTGCTGTCACTGTCTTGAAATTCTTATCCAGTTTTGACCAAAGGGGCTCTGCATTTTCTTTTTGCACCAGGTCCCACATATTATGTAGCCAGTCTTATAGCTATGCTTATGTTTTTTCCTGATATTACATTATTTCCCCTACAAGACTGAAAGTTATCCAGGGAGCTTTCTTCTTTGGAGTTTCTCACCCCACTCCCAAAGGTGCCTCTCACACTAGTGGACTAGTGGACGTAGGGCCACACAGAGGGCTGAGACTTTGGCGTCTTCACCTTTCGATTCCAAATGCCAAGCCCAGTGCTTGATATAGAGCAGGGGTCGAATGAATGGCTGAGTGAATAAATGAATAGCAAATTATCAACAAATACCTGCTGACTTCTTTAACTGACAAAACACTCGAACTTTTAATAGTTTTAGATTTGCAGTGAAAAGTGACTAGGTGGATTGGGAGAGATTAAAGGTAAAATATTCAAGGAAAAATATCTTTCTTGGAAAGAATAATGGAATTGACTTGGATAGTTTAGAGCAAGTAAGACTGAAAGACAGGTTGAATTCCAAGTTGAACAAGAAGTGGTGGGTGGGAGGAGGAATGAATGGTTAAAAGCAGTTAGATGTCTTTCAACAGGTTACATACTGAGGTGGATTCTTTCTTCTCGTATTCAACTCAATATACATCAGCTTCATCTTGTAAGTTGTAATTCCAGAAATGAAAATTGTCTAAGTTTGGGGAAAGGAGGGCATACAGGCTGTGCATTTAGAAGGAACCAAGAGATTATTGATTTTTCTTTGACCATCCCAAGAGTTCCTTGATCTACTGTTATGCATTAAGAAGCACAGCAATACAAATAAAAAAACTTTTATGAAGAACTGAATTTTTTATTGTTTCCTCTGCCTCTGTGCAGAATAGACAGAACTCATGCTCTGGTTCCCAGTTACCTTAGCTTACCTAAACACATTTATTCTTTAAACCATGATAGTTTCCTATCCTTATATTTGCTTTGGGAAACATATTTCTAACATGCATTTTTATAAAATAAAATAACAAAAAACTTACACTCCTTTCTCTGGAGTCTTTTATATTGTGTTCTATCACTTCTCCTGTTGCTTGGGAAAATCAGTTCTTTACAAACTGTATATCCCCCTTGGTGAGGTTATCTCTTAATGGTCTATCTCCTTTACCCTGGATAAAATAATATAGTTTTATACATCTCTAAAGAGGTTCCCTATAGCATTGTCTAGCCTTACTTTCCTTATTGTTGCTACATCACACTTGAATAAGTGACTTAAATTGTGCACAGATGTCCAGGTGTGGCTTTAATTTCCTTTTATTCCAGCAAAATAATTTCTTTTAACATATTCATTACTTCTACTATGTTTCTCCAAATTATGCATGGTGCTGTTATAATGCTGGTTCACTGAATATTAAGTGTGTGAGAGCAGCGATTTTATGCTTCAGATGATTATTTATGGGAAAATTCAATTTTTAGAGGATGATAATAATGGTGGAATAGAGGTGGTGAATAATAGCATTGAAATTCACAAGCGAAATAAAGCAACAGTAGAAAAAAGCATTTGGGGGAAAAGATAGTTTTAAAGTAGTGAAGGAGAAGAGAAGCAGGGAGCATTTCTTGTCAGGAATACTCAGATTCTAAACAGGCAATAGTGGGCTCCAATTTAGTGTGCTTGTGGGGACAGGTATAGAAGTGCAAGATTTGCTGAGATGCACAAAAGAATTTTGTAGACTATCTGGAATGGGAAAGGACAAGATAAAAAAGTAGCTTCCATCAATCTAGGAGAATATAGATTTTTAGCCCCTTAAATCTCCACTGGAAGTAGAATTGCAGGGTTATAAAAACATATTCCTTGCTACCCAAGAATGTTCCTCATGCTCAACATTGAGCAAAGAGAACTGCTGAGACAATTCAATGGTGGTATTCTATAAGCAGATGGCTGGTGGAATTGTCTTTACTGTTCCCATTTTTATGTGACACACACTTGAATAAGAGGGCCTTATGGATTCTGCTGTTGGAATTGTAGCCATCACTGGAAAAACTCCATCTAGAGTGCTCATCTTTGAGCCTGTACAGTCAGAAAGCCCCGCATTTACAAACCAACAAATGGAGGAGTGGGAGAAGGAAGAATGGCAGGGTAAAACTATTTTGACTTTGATTTCACAAGCCAACATTAAAAACAGAAATGTTCAAGCATCCAAGTTCCTTCAATTACCCAGAGCTGTCAACTTAAAAAAATAATAGTAAAAATAAAAAAGAAAACCAGAACCATTAGTTTAATTTTTAAATCTGTCTAAGACCAACCAGACAGAAGCAAGCTATTTTTACTAATTTTAGAAAAGTAATGCAAATATGTAATAGAAAATTGGTGACTTGATCAAACTCACTTAAAATGAAAGCTTGAGCTGAATGTTACAAGAATATTCAGACAATAGCAACCTGTTTGAAATTGCGATTGAGTATAATTCCAAAATTTATGCATTTTATCACCTCCTAGGCATAAAGCCAAAGGCGAAAAGAGCAGAACATGAAAAGGCTGAACCTGAATTATGTTCTAAATCCTGTTGAGTTTAATTTTACTTACAAAGCAGAAAGTTAGTTTGCCAGTTAAATTTGCCCCTCACAGCCCTGTAAAAATACCTACTTTCTTGTCATCAGCCTCCAAATTGTGTTATTCATTTGGAAAGCTTCAATTTTAGGAGCATCATTCTAAATTACTAGGCAAGTACTACACAATAAATACACATAATCTAAAACAGACCGTAGCAAGAGAAGAAAGCAATTTTCTATAAATTTGACTGCAGTGTGGGTTTGCAGTTCCTTGAGCCTTGTAACTTCAAAAGGCATAAAGGAAAATTTTTAGCTAAAAGGAATATCATGAGAGAATGAGCACTTTAAAAAGTTGATTTTTTTAAATAGGGTAATACACATACACATTCTAGATATAAATTTGGAGAAAAGTTCAAATAACCTTCTGAACAGAAACAAACACACAAGAAATGAACAAGCTGCCATTCACCCAGATACACACTTGTTTCAAAACATTTTACTCGGACCAATGATGGACGAACTACCAAAAATCAATAAACCTTTAATGATACGTACAACTAAAACAAAGAGGTGATGAAACTTACTATATGCCTTATATTTCCTGCTCAAGATTTTTATAATATTCATGAATATGAAAACATTCCAAGTGGTTAAAAGACATGTTAATCGAAAATAGATGTTTTTGCTATGGATTGTGTAATTTTTATTTGCAGAGATTGTGCAAGGGTCTTAGCATGCAATACTCACAACCACTCAAAATGTAATTGTTTGAGATCAAAAAGAGAAAGGCTTTAGGTGGGATTCTGGTAATGTTCTAATTCTTGTCTTGAATGGTAGTTTCATGGTGTGTTCACTTGTGAGTTTTCATTGAGTTGTACACCTGTACACTTGTGATTTGTGAAATTTTCTGTAGGTGTATTGTATCTCAATAGAAAGCTAAAAGAAAAGAAAGAAAAAAAGGAAAGAAAAGAGAGAGAGAAAGAAAGAGTGAGAGAGAAAGAAAGAAAAAAGAAAACGCTTGCTAGAAGCTGCATTTCCCATACTGAGGAATAATGTACTAAAAGAAATTGGTGCTGTAGTCATTTACTTAATTCAAATAAGACATAGGTTTATAGGGTCACAGAATGTGGTGGCCTGGTTCATAGCTGGAAACCACTTAACTGTCATTTCTGCACAGAGAAACTGTGTTGACATTTTCAGACTTTAAAAAAATCCCTGTCACTTAGTTACAAATGTCACCATATTACGCATACAGTTTTCCTGTTTTTGGAAGCAGAATTTAGAAGTTAGTGGAGGAAAAAATAATGCCTGGGGGTTCCGCTATCTTTGCATTTGAAAAACACATATACACACAAACAAATTTTACCTCTAGTCCCAAGGTCTTTGTGGCTCAACTGTTCAAAATTTCTGTTTGGCATTAAGTTGGTTAAACACTCAGTGACCACTTATTATTACAGGTGTTTTAGACCCTGAAGTTGGATCTGTAGGTTTTGTCTGTTACTAAGGAGCAGTTTTCCATGTAATCTTTTCAAAGGCAAAAGGTTAAGCAAAAATGACATATATTGTAAAACTGCAAGTAAAATGCACAGTACTGATGTGCTCAAAGTCCATGCATTTAAATTCCTTTGTATTATAATTTATGGTGATCATGTGTTCAGACTGCACTATTAGCATACTCACCCCTAACAAGAAGTTCTGCCTCATCTGACACACTGTCTGCTGTGGTCTGTACCCTGCAGCCATATCTCCCAGCATGCATCAGAAGGATGTTCCTGATCATTAAATCTGCAGAGGATGCTTGCTGAAAGAGGGATGAAGTGCCAGTTTAAAATGGTGCAAATCTGCCTAGTTCAAGGTGGTTTAAGGGGAACTTTGCATATTCAGTCACAGGGCCCAAATTTGGCCTTACAATTTCTATGACAACAATTCAGAAATCAAACATGCCCTATTTTAAGGAACACATGGAAGTTATGTTTTCAACAACTGCTAATAAAGGATTTGAACATTTAATATTGCATATAATGATCTAGCAGCTACAATATTTAAGAAATATTTAAATATGCACAAATTCATATCTTTAAAAGTATAGGAAAAATAATCAGTGAGCAAAGATTACTGCTTTGCTATTCGGAAACAGGCCTATTTTTGTGGGAAGAAAATAGTATTGAAAGGAAGAGCAGCTTGTGGAAATTAATTATGAGAAGATAGCAGTCAAAAGATTATCTTGTGTGGCTTTATTAAATGGTTCCTTTTCTAAGTACACTGTGGGCAACAGAATGAGACAGTGCTAGGTGAGAGATTGCCGGTCCCAAAACCATGTGTCTTTACTTAACAAAGATTTATTCCTTCCATAACTACCACCATCAGGGAGTAGAGTCAGCCTGAATCTCTGTTAATCAATGCAGTTACAAAACACAAAGGAGGCACAAATCTAGTTCTTCTTGGGGGCAAGATGATTAGAACATTGTTGAAGAAACAACTGTAGTTAGGAGATCAATAAGCACCAGGGAGAATATCTTTTAGATGTCTTGGTTCATGGGATCAGTGATGATCTTACACTTTAGAATGACTGAGACAGACCTTTCATTACTTAATCTTGTCTTTCGTTTACTCTATCAGGAAAGATAGATTTCCTTTTTCATGAATATGTAATGATCTGGTATTTACAACAAGTCATGAGATATTTTTTCAGATAGTGACATAGAAAAACTCCAACATGCTTTTCAGTCTCCATGCTGTAATCAAAAACAATTGGCTGGAATGAGAGTAGATGCATGCAGCTTGAAATGACATCCTCAAAGAACTCAACACTTCTCTCCAACGGCAGTTGAGCACATGAGAGAAAGTTTAATATATGCCGTAGAAAAGCATCCCAGATCAGAGACCTGTTATTTTTGCATGGAATGGGTGAATTACTTTAAAAAAATGATGCATTTGTCCTTAGAAGGCAGCAGCCTGATGATTATTTAAGAATTTAGTTGTTTACCTTTATTTCAAAATAAACCAATGGGTTATACGAAAATCACGAAAGCGAGAAGAGTTTCCAGAAATCCTTTGGATTCTTTTTTTTCCTTAGCATTCATAGAAAGGATGTGAAGTCATTGGAAGTTTTTACCTCTCAAATGATGTGTGTTTCTTTAAATTAATTACTTAACTGTCTATTATATTTTAGACTATTTCTTTTTTTATTTCTTTCTTATTAGTCTTATGATAGGAACTTCTAAGGGTATTGAAGTTTTCTTTCATGAAATAATTGTTAAGACATGGTCTGGTTTAGTCATTTACAAGGGAATGCTTCATGGTGAGAATGCATTAAAATGTCATAACAATTATTTCAAGGAATGTGATATTTGTCCAGTGAATGTCCTACACTGCTAATTTCTTTAGGATAAATTGTTACTCTTAAATTTTGTTTTCTCATCTCTACTAGACTAGGTACTCACATCTTTCAAATCCAAAAACAAAAATTATGCTTTAAAACCCTTTGATTTAATATGGGAGAACAAAAACAAACTGTAAATATTATAAGCCATAATTCAGTTTCAAATCAATATAATTGAATACTGTATAAATGAACTTCAATATATGTATCACTTTATGTAGCATGGGTCCATCCTAGGTGTGGAAAATCTCCGTTTCCCCCTGGATTTCGAAGAAGCTCTCCTAATGGGATACTCAATTGAATTAATCAGGAATCAAGGTGCATACTCTGGGCCCAGAATGGTGCCTAGGTCTAGTGGAAAAGCCAAGGCAAGGCTCAGAAAATCAGAGAGGACTTTATTATTTCCAGAAATAACGCTTCTAAAAGACTGTCCATGGTGTTTTTTGTTTTGCTGTTTTTTCATTTGCTTGTTTGTTTTTCAATATCACAAACTGATTGCTGGTAGTTCAACAGCAGAAAAAGTAATGATTATAAGTCATTTTTCAGGTTCAAATTTTTGAAAAATTATTTTGTCAAACCACATTCCTGTGATTAAATAATTGTTTGTCTTATTTTCCAGAACTTTTTCTTCCCAAATACTTATTTCTTTTTGTCCTGGACAAAAGTACCCAAATTTTTGTCCTTTCTGTTGAATTATAGTGAAGGAAAACCTTAATGGGATCAGGAAGAGACTTTACTAAAAATCACATAAAAGCCCAAGGAATTCAGGAGAATGAGGTATAGATTATCTTTCCTATGCTGCCCTTTACTTGCTTCCTGCAATTAATAGTGTGCAATGCTCTGTAAACTAGCTGAAGCTCCCTCACCATCTGTCAGGAATAAAATGTCTGCAGCCTATTGCATATCTATCAATGCCAAGACTATTTGGGAAGTTGAAACTGTCTCACTTTAGGCCCATCCCTTCACTTTTGGATTATATCTACATTATATTTTTACAATTCCAAACAGGGAAGATTAAAAGTAAAATGAATGGATTGTGAACACTAAGCCTCAATTACTCTTTCAAGAGATTTACTGATCTTTCAAAAGAAGTAATGAGAAGAAAGAACTCATGTGGGAGCCCATTACACTTAATCTCAGCACCACACACTACAGTATGCAGTTCCCGAGAGAGAACCTCCACAATTGAGTGCACTTATAGTGAAATGGTTACTCACAGCAGACGCTTGCTTTCTTAAGCTTAAACGTCATTTTCACTTTGTCTCTCTTAGGAGTTATTGTTTCTTTTCTTTCTTTCTTTTTTTTTTTTTTGTGAGGAAGATCAGCCCTGAGCTAACATCCATGCTAATCCTCCTCTTTTTGCTGAGGAAGACCAGCTCTCAGCTAACATCTATTGCCAATCCTCCTCCTTTTTTTTTCCCCAGAGCCCCAGTAGATAGTTGTATGTCATAGCTGCACATCCTTCTAGTTGCTGTATGTGGGACGCGGCCTCAGCATGGCCGGAGAAGCCGTGCATCGATGCGTGCCTGGGATCTGAATCCCGGGCTGCCAGTAGCAGAGTGCACACACTTAACTGCTAAGCCACGGGGTCAGCCCATCTTTTCTTGTTTTCTTTGACACTTGCTTTGCATTCTGTCTGTTTTTTGCTACTTTCTTTGGCTTTGTGAAAAAATTGTGTAACATGTTGCTTCAAATGAACTTATCCACAACCAGTGCTTAACACGATGCTCCAACACCTACCGCTGTGCATGTCACATGGGGGGGCTCAATAAATGCTTGCTGAATGGATGAATAATTGAAGGCTCTTTAAGAAAGAGGCTGTATGTTCACTCTCTGTGAGAGCAATGTGACTAAGTCATTTACATTCCTTCTTACATCACATAGTCTCATTAGAGCAGTCGCTAGATTATTATAACCTTTATTTATGACTTTCAAATAATAAAGGAAATGTCATCCTTCCACTTAAGTCCAGCTCTTTATTTGTTTTCACTTTGACTAAGTGTCCTGCTCATCCAACATAAGACTCCCTAAAAATGGAAGCTAATTTAACTTTGCTGTTCAAAGTGTCCGCTGACTCTTATTGCCTTGAAGATAAAGTCCAATCTCCTTATTTCAGTGTAGAAGGCCCCTCAGAGCATGATTCTACCTCCTACAACTGAATCCCTTATTCCTACAACACTAGCCTCACATTTCCCCATACATGGGAATACTCCCCATACATGGGAACAACTCTGCCTGTTGTTCTGTTGCAGATGCTCTTCTTCTTTTGCCAGGAAAGATACTTTTAGACATAGCTCAAATGCCTTCTCCTTGGTAAAGCGTTTCTGGATACTCTTTAGGCTTCTTTGGTTCTGCCACTGTTTAGTTATGCTTCAATAGCACTTCAATAGCTCACGTCTCTGAACTAGCACTTGACATTTTTGGAATTCTCCTCCAAGGTCCACGAGGGGCATTCCTAGAGCTGAGCTAGGTAACTAGTGCAGCTGATGATCATCAGGTTAGCTAATGAATGCATGAATGGTTTGCTCCCTTCCTTCTTTGTGCCTGACAATACATCCTTCTCCCCCTCTTTTTTTCGCTTAAAAACATTATAAAGGGAAATAGGAAAAGACTATGTAGGAAAACAGTGGAAAAGAATACTTAAAAAGTATATACAGGTTTTGGAATGACACAGAGTTGAGTGAACCCCTGCTCTATCACTTATTAAATTTTGAACTTGGGAAAATTGCCACTCACAGCTTCTCTCATAGCTTCAATGTGATAATGCAAGTAAAGCCCATAGCAATGTGTCTGGCACATAGTAAGTGTTTGAGAAATGTTATCTGTTAAAGGGCACCATAATTGCACTCTTAGCCAAGAGGAATATTTCCTTAATTGGTATTCACTCCTTCAACAAACTCAATATCAATGTTTTCCATAGCTATAGTAAGTTCCCTGATAAATACTCAGCTTTATTTTAGATATTTGTATTCTCCCTTTCTCTCTTATAGAAAATCATTGCACTGAGAACAAGAAGACCTGAATTCCAGCCTTATTTTCAGCACCATCCTCACCCTGCAACCCTGGAAAGTCAATTTACTGGGATAATAACAGCTGCACTGTCTCTCTCATGAGTATTGAGGGAAATCAGGTGAAACAATGTACATACATGAACTACTGGGAAATGCTTCAAAAGTGTAAAGTACTTGTAAAGCATTTTTTCAGCAGGATTTAGCAGAATGCTGTGCACATAGTAAGCACTCTGAGAATGTTTGGGGAATGAATCATCTAAACAACAAGGTAACTTAAATTGAGTGTTCTCATAAACAGTAGACTCATCCTGAATGACTCAGTCAGAAGCTTGTGGGTATGGGAGTTTCCATGCCCTCATTTAGGGTTTATTTAACTTTCTCAAGGGGCTCACATAGGGCACTTCCAGC